GGCACAGAGTGATTAGAGTTCATAAATGAAATTCTTCCTTATGTTCAATGTGAATTTAGCTCTTGCTGAAATTAGGGGTGAAATTCTTTCAGTGCTGCCAGGCAGTCCAGTCATAAGCGCTTCCAAAAATTTCACTCCACATCCTTTCAGTTGTTTACAGTTGATTTTGTGGGAATTCTGGAGGATTGGCTTTTCAGTCCTGGTCATGTCTTCAAGTTATAGTATCATTCACAGCACTATATTTTTTTTTTATCCATCTGCTTCCCTACCCCCTGCTTCATCCTTTTTTCATACAACTTATGTCCATCTATCTTCCTACTCTGGTAATTGTTTGGAGCTGAGTTTGGTTTTGTTTTTAAAGGACTTCCCTTTTCTTTCCCTCCCTGTACTGCTGCTCCCCCAGAACTCCATGTTAACGGAGGTACCTGTTTGTCCCATGATTCCCTGCACTAAGGCTCCCTATAGTCTTAGGACTGAGTGCTACAGGTGCAGCAAAAGGGGTCATGGACTTTCCACGTAATTTCTATATTTCTAATATTTCTTATTCTAAAGGTGGGTGTAATCCTTGTTTTAAAGAATTTTACAGTTTAAGGAACTGCTATCTTCCTGAGAGCAAGATATAGAATAACAACGTGCTGATAAATATGGCACATGGTCTTAATCTACTGTGGATTTATTAAAGTACAGATGGTGTACTTTCAGAGTTCCTAGAATTACCATAGGAAGTATGTGGTCCTCAAGCTGTTCATATATGATTAAAAAAAACCCATTTTTCAGATTTTGGCCAGTGAGATTGGCTTTGAGAACATCTAAACCCCAAGGGAAATGCAGCAGAAATTTCCCTGTTTCATCAGTTCTGTGAGTTCAAGCCAACAGAATATAACATAGTTTCACTTCAAGTTCTCATGTAGCTTAAGAATTTGTAAAATTAGTTGAATGTAGCCCGATATCTGTGGTTTTAGGCATGTTATCTGATTTATTGCAGAAGTTTTAGTGCAGTTGTAAGTATTGAACAAAGACTGTCATCCACTAGGTCAGGTAAATTCATTTAGTGATAAATATTGCTTAGCATAATTGTCCAAAGTGACCAGAAATCTAATCTGAGTTTGATCTCTGCACAACTCTGCGATGAGTAATGCATTAGAAATCTGGACTGCCCCTTGCACACCCCTTTTATCTGAATGCAAAAATCTCACTCATGTGAAGCAGAGACCACTCTGACCGTGAAACAGAAATTCAGAAATTTAACTTTTAATAGAATAAGTAATTGCTTTGCATGTCTTGCAAATAAATTCTTTTATTTTTGTACCTTTTTGCACCATATACAGAGCATTGAGTAAACTTTGTGTGGAAAAAGCCACTGAAGCACTTTGGTGATATGTCTTGTGCCTGCATTATAGGGATAAAGAATTCGTATTAAAATTTGTGTCTGGTCTTCCCCACAGTTGTGCCATTTTCACCAATCTTTACATGTGTCATGGAAAAGGAAGGAAAGACTCCTTATTCCTTTTTTCTCCCCTTGCTGGCTGTAGAAGTGATTGTCAGGATTTAATGACAAAACAGAATGGAGATTTAGTTGGCTCATTCTTTTTTATCTGACTTCATTTTTGAATTTTTCAAGCCTTGAAAATGTGTGCATAAAAAGCAATTACATATTAAAAAACTTATTTCAGCTGATCTTAGTACTATGAATTTAAAAGACTAAAAGTCTGTTGAGTAAAGCTTGCATTTAGTTGAGAGAATATTTATTCACTGCTCCACTGGTCTCAGGACTTAAATCAATAGGAAGCTGCAAGGATCTTGCCCTGGTTCTCTGCACAGAGTGGAAACCTACTTGTGAAAGAATGTTGGTTCTCCAACGATGCCTGTAAATGCATCTCACAGTGAGCTGATGAAACCTAACTGCCTGTGTTGACTTGGTCTCTCTGGCAAGCTTCATGTGTTAAAGAGGTCTCCTCTGGCCGGCTGTGGCCACTTCTCAAATCAGCATCCAGCATCTTGATTTTTAGCTGTAATGGAAGACTTATTTGCAGCAGTAACGTGTACTTGGCTTATGACATCAATAGTTCTTTTTTCAAGGTGCCATTTATGTAGCTAAGCTTTGCCTGTAGCCATTTCTCTTACTTGAAGCTACAGCTGCAGAAGAATTATTTGACCTTAGTGAGTTAAAGAAGCAAGAGAGAGGAAATATTTAGTGCTAATTTGTTTGGGAACTGGTGTTGGGTTCTTTTGGGACTGGGCCCACCTGGTTCTTCAGTGTAGACAGAACCATTCAGACCAAGCTGCAATAAACTTGTGCGTATAAATGGCATAGGCAGAATATTTGCTGGCACTTACTGTGTAAGAACTGCTGAGTTGTTTGCTCTGAACAGTGCTTTGAGAGCCTTCTGCCCTCACATTTGTATGTCACTCCTTTAAAAAGAATTAGATAAGGGCATGTATGCAAAATCAGCCAAGGAGCTGGTAGTGCCAGGTGTTACTATCTATTAAAGTCACTGCAGAACTGAAAGGACAGATTTATGTTTTGTTGTCTTACCATTTCTCTCAACAAGGGGCATACTTCCTTAGGGGCACTAAAAGTATACTGATGGTGGAAAGAAAGGAAGAGAGCTGATCTCTCTCCTCTGCAGCCTGTGTCCTGGGTGAATTTCTCCTGTGGAGTGACTGATTTGCTAGCAACTTCATGGGCAATGGAAAGAGAAGGCAAGGTGCGTTGTCCCTTTTCCTCCCCTGTCATAGCTGTGAACATGACAGTCAGTTCAAAAAAAGCCAGCATTTATTCTGCTCTTTCTTCTTCAGTCATTCTCATTTGAATTGTTTAAAATGTTAGTTGTTTGAGAAGGCTCAGGGTGTTGAAGGATAAACTTCTAGGAGAATATAGGAATATTATGCATAGGTCAAGAAAGATGTTCTTTGTATATGTAAAGACAAAGGCATCCCTTTCTGAAGGCATCAGAAGAATAAGTAAATACCCTTCTTTGGGCAAGGGCCTCCTGGAGCTATTTGACCTTGAAGAGGGTATATTGCCAACTTTGCAAGCAAACTCAAGGTCCATGTATCCTTAGCTGAACTACCCTCATTGTAATTCTAAAAATCATGCCTACAGGTCAAGAAGACCCTTGCCCAGGTGAAGACCCTTCCCCTGAGCACATGTAGTAGTAGAAGTATTCTGTCAGAAGTATTAAAATTGTGTGTAAATTACTAACCAATGATCAAAGAGAGAATGGACTTTGAAAATTGCTAACTCTGCAAGTTCTGTGTATAAATATAGCACAGGAAGTCCCATTGGTGTGCTTGATTTGTGGGAAACCACAGAGCACCAAGGCTTGCGCAACCCTAAAATAAATAAGCAATGTCTCTCCTGAGTGTATGATTAGTGACCTATTGCACACTGGGAGACAAATCTGCTTTTCGGACAACAAGGCGGGGGGGGGAACCTTATCAATACCTGAAGAGAGAGTGCAAAGAGTATGGAACCAGATTCTTCTCTGTGGTGCCCAGTGACAGGACCAGAGGCAGTGGGCACAAACTGAAATACAAGAGGTTTCCTCCAAACATCAGGAAACACGTTTTCACTGTGAGGGTGACTAAGCACTGGCACAGGTTGTCCAGGGAGGTTGTGGAGTTTCCATCCTTGGAGATATTCAAGAGCCATCTGGACATAGTCCTGAGCAATTGGCTCTAGGTGGCCCTGCTTGAGCAGGGAGATGGACCAGGTGACCTCCAGAGGTGCCTTCCACCCTCAGCCACTCTGTGATTCTGTGACTTGAAATAGCATCTTTCACAAGTAAGAGCTTCAAAATCAACTTGTCAGAAATCTTTTTCATAAGTGGTCTCTGTATTTTAACAGGTTAAGGCAATGGAGTTTTAGTCCTTGTTATTAAAAAGAATGATGGTTCAGAAGCAGAGCACATTGTGTACAAAGCAGAAAGACCCTTCCTCTTTGTGTCTGACTACCTCTGTACAGAGATGGCTTGGTTGTTCTGTTTTTCTAAGAATGGAATGGGCTCTGTTCACTGCTGCAGCTCCCACCCAGGAGTGAATGACACAGCATCTATGTCTTTGGTATTTCTAGTTCTGGTTTGGACAAATAGGTTGCAGTGTCCAAGTGCTCCATAAGCTGTGAATCAATGGAAAGAACCCAAAAGGAACAGGGAGTGGGGAGAGGGGAAGATGGTGAGAAGCAAGGAAAATAAAAATACAGGAGGTAGAAAAACTTCATAAGAAATACACATAGCAGAAGGTTGATGATGGAAGAGGGTGACTATATGAGGTGAACCTAGATACAGGGTGAACTGAGGTGAATGGAATAAGACCTTGGTATCTCAGTTATTTACTGATTTACAGCTCAGTATTCTACTGTGACTGCCAGAGCAAGAGGACCACACAGGAGTTTGGTGAAAATAGGACAACAGGAATTAAGGATCACTGTCTGGCACTTGCCTTGGTTCCTTTTACAAATATTCACTTTCACTATGTAAATAAAGAATAAATGAGGGAGGAAGTATTAAGCTCAGGTCAGTAAGTTAATGTCCCAAGTAGAAAAATCCACTTCACCTGTGGTGTTTCCTGTAATGTTATATTGGCTCTGAATATTGCATTTCATCAACAACTTTAGCAATTCACATCTGCTAAATATTTTACTGGTGAACATTTTAAATACCTTCAAAACATAACGTTCAAGAGGCTTTCCTTTTAATTTATTTTTTAAAATTACATTTTCTGAATACAGTGTAAAGCAGAAAATATAATTCAGACTATAAAATAGGGTTACTTTAAAGAATCAAATATTTTATAGTCACTAGCAGCAAATTCCCCTTCTATACAAGAGGTTCAGCATAGATTTCAGTAAGATTTCTCTGGTAATGTTTTCAGCTAAATCAACGGTTATTAATCTTACTATCATAGCAAGGTAAATGTGACAACATTGTCAGAATATGTTCTCTCTTTTAAAAGTTTGTTGCTTTTGCTCTCCCCCCACCCCCCCTCCCTTTTAACAGAACAACTGTCAATAAAAATGGAATGTACCAGTTTGAACAGGCTTCAAAATGTAAGGCAATTCAGGACAACATTTTGTCATCATCTATCAAGAAAAAAAGGTAGGTGTTTGCTGTGCTTTCTGCTTTGTTTGTTTTAAATAGAAGGATAAAAGATTGTCCTCTTTTACATAATTCTCGATGATATTAATGTGGAGCTATACAACAGGAAACTGAAATTGTTCAAACAATGTTTGCCTGCAGTTTTTCTTTCACATGTTAGATTTGAGATTGGATTTTTTTTTTATTTTACAATATAAATCAACAAGATTTCTCCTTGCCAGTTAGCAACATTTTATTAGAAGATATTCACAAGAAGGTTGAACAGAATCTATGAGGTATAATTTAATTCTTGAGTGTCTTTTTCCTGATTGATGAATGCTCTTGGTATGAGCAACCTCAATTATGGGATTCTTTTCAGCATATTCACTGGAGTAAGTATGGAAATATACTAGTATAAAAAGTTGCTAATTAATTGCACTCATTATAATAACTAGTCTCCAGGAAACTAATAATTCAATTTTAGATACATTGAAAAAACACCCAAATTAATTTGGATTTCGACCTGCTGTTCTGCCTTTTACTGACATGGAAAAAAAATCTTTTATATCAGCCCTGGTTAAATTTCTTGCCACTTTCTAAAGAGATAATGGGAGAAGCAGCCCATTGCTTTTGACATGTAACATTTTGCCTATATGGATGCACCAATAAATAAAACATTTTAAATAAGAGAGGCTTCCCATCAGGACTGAGTTCCAGCTTAAAATTAATTATGTGTCATGGTGTCTTTAAAATGGGAAACATTTTTTTCCCCCCTCCCTTCGTGAAGAACAGAGAAGTAGAATGGGAAACAAAAGCTCTGCTAAAAACAATTATGTGCCTTTCCCATTAAAAGCACCGGAGAAGTCAAATTTTTCCTTACCATAGAAGCAACATTAAATCATAAATTTTAAACTTTTCCCGTCTTTTCTGCCCCCTCCTCACTTTATCATTGCATTTTATGATTTTTCACCTGTTTTAAGTCACCATATTTCCAGCATTCTGTTTTTACTTTTAATTCTTTTTTTTTTCTCCTCTATAACCTCATCTCCCACCAATATTCCACCTCATCAGCAACACTATCACTGAAGTCTTTACTATTTTGAAAGGTGTTAGACCACTGTTACTGCTGCGCTACTAGTGAGAGCTGAAACAGAGACAGGTAAACAGAGGCCAAAGAATACAGTTCACTGAAAAATTGAGTGATTTAACACCAAGAGAAGGACAACCAGTCACTGTATTGCCTCCAAAATCCAGTTATAACAATATAAATGCAGTTATATATCCTGTGTATTATGAAGTTGTACAGGCTGCAGCAATGGAGACGTGCTTGCCATATCTAGAATATTTCAGAGATTAGACTGTAGGAGAAACTTTACAAAGTGTGAGACCTTTGTTCTGTGGCTAAAGAGACAGGAGCTGCACTATTTAACAAGGCAAAAGATGAATTGGGCAGGTAGGAAGAGAAACTGGTGCTGGGAGCAAAGGAGCAAGGGATTCCTTTGTGCCATGAATATTGCAACTCATTGCCCTTCACTGAGAAGAGCTGCAGGGCTCTTCATTGCTTTTTCAAGGTGTGACCCATAGGCATGGTATATAGATGTTTTATATTACAGTTCTAGACTTTTGGGGACATTCTGGACATTCTTTCCTCTTAAGTTGCCATAAAGGGGAAAAAAATTACTAGTTTAAAGCTTGTCAAATGATTTGATAGTAAAAAATGCTATGTAAGTGGTAAGTTATTATTATAGCAAGTATGTGCTGGTGGTGATAAAAGACCTGAAATGCTGAGCTTTGCTGGCAGTTTTCCATTTTTATTCTAGAGCAAGCCCTGTGCACACTCTCCTGAGGGCTTTAAAAACTGATAGTTGTTTTGGTAGTATTAAAGTGTTGAAAGGCAAAAGGGATCATCCTTTTCTCTTGCATTTCCTGCCATTGTTTTTATTTGTTTCTTTCTTGAACATAAGCTGCCAAGTAGAAATATCTCTTTTTTTCACTCCTGCTGCTCAATTTTCCTTATAATTCAAATAGCTTTATTTCAAGTAGGTGTTTAGTTTTAGTGAACAACCAGCGAGGCTGCATCTGTCTCTCTGTTCTGACATTTTACCTATTGTCTTCCTACTATCTCAACACTTCTATCCTTGCTGTTGTCCTTTAGATATCTGCCAAAAATTAGAAGATACTTACACTTTGTCAGTGCCTTGATTGTGCATAATAATTCCACCTTAGCCACCACAGTTAATATAGAAGGTCACTGCATACCTGACAAGTACTATAGGCAGAAAACCCCTTCCAAGTGTTGTCACCAAGGCTTACACAGTATAAGTGAGTTTCCTACAGCAACAAGTTATTATAGTGGTTGTGGTTCAGATGGCAGACAAAACCAGGATGAAATGTATTTCATTCACTATTTTCAGCACTGTAATTATTGTCTTGTACACATATTTTTATAGTTCAATTTGCCTAAGCTTTTTAATCTTAATAATATAACCCTTTTAGTGTCAGTGAATATGTGCTGTAAGCTCCTGTGTGCCTGTGGAAATATATGTATTGTCCCAGCTCTTTAAAACAGACCAGTGGAGAAGTGGACTGTGGGTTACAGCAGAGCCATGAAATGACATTCTGATGGCCACCTGGATGGATTCCATTGGAGGAGTGAGTCCCCAAGGCTTCTTTAAAGCAGGAAATACTAAAACAGGCTTTCTGAGAGGAAAACAAAGCTTTATGGGCTGTAAACCCAGCTGCAGCATATCCCAGAATTTTGTGTCCTTAATTAATCTATGGGAATATTGTCTGTATTCAAGTAGAATTTGTTTCATGGAAGCCTTATACTGGCATGAGCAGATGTGGTGGCCACCTTGCAGAGCTGCCACAGTCAAGAGCTCCGGTCCCACAGGACATGCTGCTGAGATGTCTCTGCTGCTTCCAGCGCTGTGGCATCACTGGGAAAGAGGAGTTCTGACAGTCCGATGTGTCTTTATAAGTACCAAGAGGAGCAAAACTGAATACATGTGGTGAGCAGAGGTGTTGTTCTGCCTAAAGACCTGTAAGTGGTGCTTTTCTGGGTGAGCAGGTGAGCTTGGACACCTCCAGGCAAGAGAGATTCCATCCTTTAGACAGCAGTGGAAAGGCAGCAGTGTTCTTGCTTTATAATTGGTCTTTTCATCCTAGGTGCAGCTTCTGTTACATATATAAGAAGGTCCTTACAGTTTCTGACAGTGAGTGCCCGGGTTTCTCGTGAAACCTCAGAACTAGCAATATGGATGATGCTTTGATTTTTCTCCTTACTGAATGTTTCCCTGTAACTTGCTAATAACTTGTCAGTCCATGCAATTTCTTTCTGAGCTGATGGTAATTTTTCTTTTCATTTCTGACTCTGATCTTCATCTTATCGATGTCTTTAGGCTAGAATTTGCTTTTTCTGTGTTTTGGTTTTGGTTTTTTTTTCTCCTGGATAATGATAGCCTAAGTAACTCTTCATGCTTTCTTATCCTATTAATTGTTTGAATTTTTCCATGAGTCCCAGCATCTAAGATTTATTTTTTAGCCTTAAGGAAGAAAGCTAGATGAGTGATTCAGCATCATCATGGGCTATTTCAGTCCTGTGTTTCTATCCCCTCCTCCCCCCACATGAACTCCCTGTCCTGCCCTGTGCTGGTACTGATACTTGTCTGACCCCATACTGAGCCAATTTAGGTAGCAGCTCCAGCAAGAAAGTAGTCCCATTTGCTCTGGCTGCAGTTCCAAGGCTGCTAATACAACACACCAGCAGGCAGCTGCCAAAATAGGAAGGCCTTGTTCCCAGTTTCTCTGTTCCCATCACTCCTTGCTTTTATGGGCTCTGGTGTTCAGTGGAATCTTTTCTGATCTGGTTTAACCTTAACTGAAAAGAAGAAAATGTATATGCATATGTTTTTCCTTCTGGGTTATTTTTTTTGTCATGGTAGTAAATTAAAGTGGCCTATGAAGGCATTTGACAAAGCCAAAACAGAGGTGTTTTCAAGTAAGTATCAGCAGTGGCACAAGAGAGAATAAAGATTCAGAGTTGGACTGGAAGGAGGAAGAACACACTGGACCAGGTCAGCTCAGTTGCAGTGAAACTAGTTTCTCTCTTTTCCCACTTCTGCCCATTAATTCCTGCTCTCTTGACATTGTGCAAGGGCTCAGTAAAATTGGTTTAGTCACAATCATCTAGTTCCTTTAAGAGTTTGCTAAGACTGGAGAATGAAAAATTGTACATGTTGTCATAGATGCAGACTTGAGCCAAAGACCAGTTCTAATACAGTATTCCTCTTAAAAATTTCATTTCATTTTCTGTGTGGAAATGGGACATGATTTTACTTAGGAGTAGATAAACAAGTTAACTTCAGCAGTTGCAGTACTTTTGTGAAGCAAACAAAAAAGGCATCTATTTTTTCAAATGTTTACCATAAAGCTGTAGTACTAAAAGCGTGTTGAACATAGATAGAGGAAGAAGCTTTTGAGTTGTTGATCTCTGCTGCTGCAAGCCACCACAGCCTTTTTTATATTCCTTTTTGTCAATTTTTATGCTCTGTTTAAGAATGGGTAAGTTTTCTTGCCATCCCAACTCTTGTAAAGCTATTCAAAATATACACTTCTAAGTTCCAGCTTAAATAAACTCATTGTCATTTGTTTTTGGACCAACACCAAGCCATTTTTGCCAAAATAATACAAGTAGATCTTTTCTGGAGACAAGTCCCAAAGAATTTGTAGTCATGGCATCCATATCATCTTCTCTTCCCATTCCCTCAGTCCTCTTCATAAGTCAGAGAATCCAGGCACAAATGGGAGAGGTATTAACATTAAACCTAGAAGGGAAGAAATGCCTCCATTCTGTTGACTTGCATGTTCTGAAGTATTTCACATATGGACATATTTGAATCTCTTGAAAGGGTTTAAAAGGTGCAGAAAGCTCTTTGGTTACATGTACCAATGTAACCAAAGTGTGTTGATGTAAAACAAATTTGAAGGAAAGCTTATGTCTGTAAATATTGGTCTGCAGTCTGAGATGATTGAATTGAGCTTTGGAGACTCTATAAAGTCAATGAAAGAACAGGCATAAAAAGGTTAATGTTTCATCGTGTCTTGCAAGAGCCACATCTCAAAACATTTTTGAACTTTAAAATGCCAAGTACAAGAAAGAGTTTTTTGGTATTATTTTGGACTTTTGCACTTGAGATATTTCTAATAACGTTAAGTTATTTATGGTCAAATATTTAAGTTTGAAACCAATGTACTTCTGAAAGTTTCTGAAAAGTTCATTAGGACATCACTATTAAAAAGAGATGTTTAATAGGTCATGCTAATTAAAACAGGGTAATACTGTTACAAATTACAAAAAAAAATAGGTCATGGAGTTCTAAAAGCAATCTATTATATATGCACCGTGCACATTATTATTAATACATGCATCATTTGAATGTTTTAGAGACTGTTTCTAAATATACATACATATATATTCTAGTGTTTGATGTTGTTGCCTTTTTTAGATATTCAGAAGATTATTATCTTCACATAGTCACCAAACTGCAGAACTGCACCTGGATAAGGAAACCAGAAGAATCTACAAAATTCAGGTAATTTTCATTGCCTAATTTGGAAAAGCTGTTTACCCTAGATTTGTCTAACAAGCCATATATGTAAATCTTCCCTTTTGAAAAGATAATTTTGTATTGCTCTTAGACTGCATTCGTAGCTGTACCTTTCTATTAATCTTCTGATGCTGGGGTTCTTCTTGTTTATTTGAATTGAGCTGTGCAAACTGAGTAGGTTAAAAGAACTATGCAAATGAAGTAATTTCACCTATCTCCAATATAATGAATAGTTAACTAAGTTAAGTAGAATGGATTAAAATATTCCTGACACAAAACCTACAGTAATAAAAACTAAATATCACTAATATGATTTTGTCCATCTGAACTGGCACTCTGGTAAAAAGACTGTGTAATGAAGTAGTGTTTTTCTTACCCCAAGACTATTGCTTCTGTTACCAAAGTGCTCAAGGCTCTCATTAGGTTTGATGCTGCATGTCATGGCCCCTGAGCACATAAGCATGCGATGACATCAGTCCTTGGTTGGTATGGCACATAAGTGCATGCTCAGTAGGGCCAGTGATCCCTGAAAAGCTTCAACTCTCATTTGGAAATGCATCATGCTGGTTTTAGAGAACAGCTTCACTGTGCGAAGTCTGTTTTCTCCAGGGAGAAATATTCTCTTGAATTACATTATTACATGGATCTGAATTAAAAATTCTGTCATGATCGTTAAAAATAAATAAATTGACCTACCTTCCAACTCTTTGGAGTTAACTAGCAATGAAAAGTTAATACCCACATGCTTGGCATATACCCTTAGCAGTAGTTTTGAGGAGGGGTAAAGCTTTTTATGTGACATAAATTGCTGCTTTTGCCATGTATCATAAGTGACTAATGGTATTTCCCAAACTGAAGTAGGAGGATACACGGAGTTAAGGTTTAAGAAATTTTCAGTTAACTCAGGCAGGGCTTTAGCTGTGCACACAGATATCAGAGCATAGTAAGGAGCTGTAGAAGCAGTCCATTCTGTTTCAGAACAGGCAGGTGTCTTGTACAGAGTTGACAAGAGGTGAAGCTGCTCTCTTCTGCTCTTCGCCTTCCTACATTTAGGTGTTTGTTTTCCAGCCTTTTTTTAACTGCTCTTCTGTCCCAACGGACCAGTCATGACTTACCAGCAATTTGCCACTTCTCCTGCTGTGCTAGGTGTATGAGTCAGTGGCAGAGTAATCACTCCATGTTCCAGCTTGACTTCTTCATTTATTGCTTCTGCAATCTTCCTTCCACTGGGCCAACTTCTTCTACATCTTCTAGGCCTGTGGGAATGAAATAGGCCTATGAAAAGCCACCTAGAAAATGTGGACTGTATGTACATTAAGGTGAGCTTGCTAGCTTTAACTTAGCTCAAATACTAAGCAAAAAAAAAAAATCTTTTGAAACCCATGGTTCAGCACAGGCTGGACAAACTTGTTACTTAATCGATGTTCAAGGGCTGTGTTGTTATGGTTTCATTGCTTTTTAACATCCAATCTAGCTAGAATATTAGCTAGTTCATATGTACACAACCCATGCTGCAGTTCTGATGACAGTACTGTATGTTCTTCTGTCCCTATGAAATTTGATCTGCTTTGATATAATCCAAAAATTCCATTGATACGACCAAGGACTGGTACTTTTTTTTAGGGCATTGCAGATGATGATTTTACAAAAGAGTGTGCTTTTGCATGTTTCTTCTTTCTTTTTCCATTCTCTCAAACTCCTCTCTGCTGTTTTCTGGACATAGGATATTAAAATTTTACAGTTCTCCTTACTTCCAGGTCATACTTCAAGGCTCTTAGTAGTTGGTCAGTAGAGGCTTGGGGAAAAAAAAAAAAAAAAAAAAAAGAGAGAAAGAGAGAAAAACAAATTTACTGACTAAATCTGTATACACTTAATGCTTACAGCACTCTCAAACTTATTTATCAGACTTAAGCACATGAGCCTGGAACTATCTTTGCAAGGAAACTCTAGCTGAGAAATGATGCATTGACAGAACTCTATGGGGAACAAAGCTTCTAGAAATGTGGTGAAATAAATAAATTAATAATCCCTTGGTAGTACATCTCTTCCTTTTTCTAACCTTGCCTAGTGTCAGTAATGCATAATAATTGTGTAATACAAATATTATTCAGTTCTAAAAATCTCATTAAGTAGGTAGATAAACACACCCATTTGGCAGAAGAGGAAATTAATCTCATAGGGGCTGTGCAGCAGGAAACAGCTAGCCCCCTGCAGGAGGAGAGTTTGAATCTGCCTCTGTCATACTATTCACCTGCCAGTGCCACCAGAAGTCTGCCTGCTGACTCGACTGCAGAGAAGCTGCTTGACTTCTTTTCCTGTTTGCCCATCTGTTAAATGGAGTGTACACTTAACATGCTTCTCAGGCATGGTGTCAATTGTATGACTGTATTATCCTGAAGTTCTGAAGAACAGGCATGCATATTTATAAGGGATTTAATGTCTTATGCTTCAGGGCATAAACTAGCCTCTAATTAATAAGGTTCAAAAGCAGCTTCCTGTGGGGTAGTGAATTTCTCAGAGAAGCATTCTTGTGTTTTCCTTTGCAGCTTTTGCTTTTGGCTACCTTCATACTGGTAGTGGAGTGAAGGCATATGTGATCTGAGCCAGTAACTCCTGTGTTCCTAGAAGACAGCACTCTGTGCCAATGAGTACACATCAATTCTCTTTGTAAGCCACACTCCTGGCAGATCTGGGCCAAATAAAATAATATGAATTAGAAGTGCCATGCAGGAAAGAAATACTTGTCTTTGTATTTGGCAAAAGGGTTGCAGCTGACAGCCATACGTGGCACAAACCACAGAGTTTCTGCCAACCTGTTGTACAAAAGACAGAGTACAGGATTCCAGGTTGACCCTCTACTACCTAGCTCAGCTTTGCCATGCAGCTGTGCAAACTGTGTCCATTTCTCATCAGAGAGCTGCCTTTTTCCTTTTCCAAATGGCTTCATCTGAAGCTGGTCTGCTGTGCAGGCTCAGATGCACTTGGCTAGGTTGCTGTCTGGCAGTGGTCAGTGGTTCTTGACAGCTATGTAATGTTTACCCATGCGTTTTTCAAAATCGAGAAGAATCACGAGGCAAGTACAAGCCATGATGTTCTTTCTAGTATCTCCCATATCCACGGTCACTCTTTGGTTGATTTTTGTCCAAGCATCTGTCAGGGAACCAGTCTCCTGGCCCTTCACTTATTTCAGTATCTGTAATGCTGACATCAGCACTGCCATATTTAGACTGCCCTCAGAGGAGCAAGTGCAAGCACTTGGTTCGTTGCTCTTGCAATCTAGTTAAGATTTATTGTGCTCCACAGCAGTGTTTGTCAGCCATTGCTGAAGAGGTTTTTATCTAACTTCACAATAGAAGCTAGCAAAGGTGATGTACCTGCACCAGAAGTGGTATAAATGGCATCCTACTAACAGTGATTTAGGGAAAGTCTCCAACGTTTACTGCTACTGACATATAGAGAACTGTTTAAGTATTTTTTTATTCAGACCTTTTCTTTATGAAATTCAGCTGTGCTTCTCTTGTTCTTTATGGCTCTACAATCATCTCGCATCTCCATATTATCCCTTTGTTTCTAAGCCCACCTGAAATTTTCCTCCCTTTTGAGATTTACATCAGGTCTAACTTGGTTTAGACAAAGCAAGTCCTTGGATTTCTTGGTTAGAGGATTGGTAGAAACTTGGAAAGGGGGGGGGCAAACAATCTTGCAGCTGCCTGGAAGCATCATTCTTAAAGCTCCAGGAAAAAAAGCTGTGCTGGGTAACTTCCTCTGCAAAGGCTTTTCTAGCTACAGTCAGTAGAGTCTCAGGTTCCCTAGGTAACCTGAATATTAATTATTATATTAGTATTCTTCAAAGGTTTTCCACTTAAAAGAAATGTTTCATTAGTGCAACAAATTACAGAGCCCAGTTGGGTGCAAGCTGTAATTGTTTTTTACACCTCCACATCTCTTTGCTTTACAGACTTTTAAGTTTGATTTATTCTGATTTGGTTGCAAGTAATCTCTAGGTTTTCCAAATAGTTGCAACTCCTGTTTTTGCTAGAAGCTATCAAATAGTTAAAACAGCCCTCAGAATGACTGGGGTGAGACGGAGGGAGGATATGGAGAAAGGCTGAGTGTTGCTGTGTTTCAGAGAAGCCTCTGGGCATTGTATTTTTGGGCTATCTTGCTGAGCCTGGAGCCTGGCAAAGCAGCGCAACAGTTCATAAGGAGTGGTATTGCACTGGAATAGCAGTATGTGAGCTGTGGATGTTGGGCCCCCTCTCCATGGAAATACGTTTCTGACAAACCTTATTTGCATCCGATAATGGAGAAGGAAATTCCGATGCATAAACACAGTTTTAAAACCCCTGATGTTACTGTAGTTTAGCTGGCACACTGCTCCACCCCACCAAAATATTTTTAACTTTTTTTGAAGTAGTAATGTTTTCTTTTAAAAAAAGAACGCTGGGTCTTGAGAAGAATAGTTAAAAGATTAACTTATTTTCCTAGTCCTGTAATTTCCCTTCCTGTTTTTTATTCCACTCGACCTCTATTACCCTTTTCCCACTTTAATATCTCTTCTGAAAAGTGTGTGTTAAACATTCCTGCAGATTATAAAATCTCACTACATGAAGAGGTTAACTTGCAGCGTGATGCACTCTAACATATATAACAGTATTGCTTAACACATCTGTGTACTGCAGTCAACCACAGTTGAGACACAAATAAAATACCCTGCAAGGTCAATTTATGCTTACATAAGCTCACACCACCACATAATCAATAGCTTTCCTAACACTAAACAGATCGGTAATTCCACTGTACTCTCTGAAATCTTCCATTCCACTATACAAGAAAATACACAGAACTCTTGAGATTATAGTGTGATTTAAGAGTACATTTTCTGCATAGGTTTAATAGATCATATGTAAAATCAGGAGTATATATTCAGAGACATATTTCTATTTCAGAAGAGAAAAAGGCTGGGTGGAGAGATAGTAATTGGT